ATCAACTTAATACTTCAGATCAGTGCCACTCAAATGATTAGCTTGTAGACAAACTGCTGTAAGCCAATAAATAGCTAGTACTCCACTGTAAACAAAGGCTTCTTATACCACTAGCCACCCAAGAGATATGCCATCTCAGCATCGATCTATAAAGTGATCTTATTTCCACAATTCCCTGAGAATTCACTACTCAAATATTATAAATCCTGTGTAATTGCTAGAAATTCAACTAGCTCAACAATATAATATTTTGCCACACAAGGAAGTAAAAATTGTTTAACTGTCACATTAAGTATTTAATACAGTTTTCCAACATGTTAATTTTTAATTAGACATTTTTGCTTTGAAATAGGAGCTGTATATACTTTAAATTGAAATAATGCTATGTTTAATGTTTGAGAAAAATATTAGTGTGGTGTTTTCTGTATCCTAAGTTGAAGAGTATTTACAAAACAGTACAACTTTGGCCAACTAGGCCATGGTTATTCCCCTGTTTTCAGTGATCCATGTTTATGTTAAAGACGACTCACACATCTGGTTCCACTGCGCACTACCCATTTAACTGCATCCTCCCTACATGATTTTGCTGGTTGAACTAGACAAGTCTGCCTACTCTAACAAGTCTCTGTGTCAGCAAGGATTTGGCAGAAAGATGAAATAAAAAGCATTCAGAGAAATGCCTCGGTCTGCAAAACCCTTGGGTTTGACAGCTCTGGAGACTGGAAGAGAAGCTCTACACTCTCAGTTGCCTCCTCCCTCTTTCTGAAGAGCATAAAGTTTCAGGGCTGTATAGAGAACACAGTTTATCTTCCCCCCATCTCCCCTGGAGGGTGAACTCCGCTAACCTAGTGCTATACCAGTCTACACACTTGCTGTTGACTTTTTTTTTTTTTTTTTAAGTTCGGAGGCACTTAGTTTTTCCTGCACCTTACCCATAAGACGAAACAGACACGTCATGGCTTCTATTTCACATTATTACCAATCCACAACAAAGTAACTTTCTCCTTCAGAAAAAAAAGGACATAAGAACAAATATGCTTATTGATTTTTAATATATTTCCAGAAGCTGCTAGAGCTTACAATTAAGTGAATTTGATAAGGAACAGCCATTTAGCTTCACAGATAGCCATAGAGAAGAACCTCCCTTCAGCTCTAGCTAGGCTAACACTCTAACTGGCTTTGGTAGTCAGAGATCCACACACACCACTTCCTTTAAACACTTTGAAAAAAATAAAACAAAAACTACCCAAACTTCTGACTATCTTGATTTGAACTGTTCTTGTGCCCAAATGGGGGCAAGCACATGTCAATATAAAAACAGCTACTATACCAATTCCCTCATGATATAGCTCAATATTTCATTAGCAAAGGCACTGTGAAGCTACTTAGTATTTGGGGGGGAACAAAGCAAAAAAATCAACCCACATCTAACCTGAAATTATATTTTGCGACTGTCATTAAATATCCCTTCTCTTCAAGCATTATCAGCATCCAGAACATGCCAGTTAAGTGGACAAGCACATTGTATGTGGCTCTAGTTACCTGCCCAAGTTACAATACAAGTCAGCTTGCTCCTGAATTACAGAAGTCTGTCTTCATACACTTATGGGAGCACCTGGGATTGCCGAGTTTTGTTCTACGTTTTGATAAGACCCTTGGTTTTAAGTCTCACTGACAACCAAGACAACTTACCAGTTAACCTTCACTTTAACAAAGTCTTCAAGAATGAAAACAACTCATTAAAGTGCTACATGTCACAGACACCCCTTTTCCCCAGAACACCCTTATTAAGAATCAAAGCATAGGAGACAAACAGGTAACTGTGCTGAAAACTACTGGTTTACATGCCTTTCTCCTCCTGTCATTTTTTCCTCCTAGCACTGAAAAGAGCTATCCAGGGTCTCACCCATTAAAGAATTTTTATATTCCTCAACTGCTCCATCATTATGGGGTTTCACATTCCCCTACAACCTCCCTCCACTTCTGGATGTCTTGCTCCAAGTCTAACAGCTCCGACTTCAGATCTCTTGTGCTTGAATAATGCTAATTAGACAAATGAGTGATCTACTGCAATTTAAACTAGTTTAGATCACATAACTCATATCCACTGCCTGTTCAGAGTCCTCCAAAACCCAACCACTAGGTACAACCCAATGACTCACCACACTTGATATAACGCAAAAGCTGCATGTAGCAGAAGGACTGAAGTATCAGCCCCACCAGTGGAAAGAATACCACAGTGCTGATTTTTGTTTTGAGGTATAACAAGTAGTGTGGGTGTAAACAAAGGGACACATTGGAGCAGCTGAGACTTGGAAGAAGACAGTCAGCAGTAGGGAAGGAAGGTCAGACATCGTGAAGCTCTCAGTCTCTGCATTGCGACTTCAAGTAGCCTGCCATCAGAAAAAGCAGTGTCAGAATCCAGTTTCAGCTCAGTTCAGAAGTTGCTTAGGTTATCACATATGGAAGAAACTATTTTCTTTCTCAGGTCAGTTACTCCAGATAGGACTTCTGAAGAGTTCAAGACTCTTCTTCAGTACTCACCACACACTTAAGTATGCACACTCACAATCACTTTCAATATGGTTCCAACTTTTTTTTTTTAATACATGTAAAAGGATACCAGAGGCACCACTATTACTTTAAAACACAAGAACTGCATAAAAGAGTTGCATGTTACATGCAGATGGTTGCAGTACTTAGTACAGTTGAATCAGTATCAGTAATAGGGGCAACTGGAAAAGCTTACCAGTTTTTACCATTACATATGAATCCTTCATACAACAGTGAGCAGAAAAGTAAGCAGAAATTAACCCCCAAATCTAACAGTCTACAAGTCTACTTACATATTCAACAAGACTGTACTTACAGAGGGTCTTAAGACCTCATAAGACAAGAAAAAAACCCCTCTACACAGCAGAAGCTGACAGGTAATGCTTATTATCAAGAGGCTTCAACTAAATGTCAAACTTTCTTTCATAGAGCACAATTAGTCAGTTAAAAGAGAAATTCCAGACAGCTGAAGAGCTATATTAGGTTACCAGATGCTCATTTTTATCAAGTTTGAGAGCAACTATTCTACACTACTGCTTCCCTAGAGGGATCATTTATAAGAAGGAAAAGCTTCTCATGAAATCGCATCTGAAGCTCCTGTACTAAGTCTGTACCTAGTGTTATTAGCATATTTGAACATGCACACACCTCACTGAACATCAGTAACAACTTCATACTAAGGCATTAAGAGGTACAGGCTTATGTTTAGGAGTGCAGCTGCAGTACATATGAGTTTGTTTTTTTTTTTCAAAAAGAATGTCACCTGAAAGAGAAAATTCTGTGCTAATAGTTAGCTACATTGAAGTTTCTCAAACTATCATCAACTAAAATCAGAAGATCATACTGGAGAGGCAACAAACACATCATCTAGCTTGCTGTACCTGGTTATGCAACTTCACCTCCCTACTGCTAACAACGTTGCTTGCCACCCTCGTGCTTTCAAAGACATCTCTGAAGTCTCAGGCCAAAATTCTCCTCCAGGAATTCCTGTGCCACTCAGTGACCCCGTCCCTTTGTACGGCTACTTGGCAAACCTCAGCCAGCACTGTATTTGCCTGAGTTTAGGTACACCTAGCACACATTTCCTTATCTGGGTATGAGGCAATTTTTACGTAAGGGACGAAAAAGGCAATCGGATTCGCCCAAGGTGCCGGGCAGACCTGTGCGTTTTCCCGAGGGGATTGCTCTCCCCCGGCCGCAGACCCCCCGGTTGCGGAGGACGCGGGGGCACACGTGGGAGCGGGGGGAGGGAGCGGCGGCGGGATCCGGGCCGCCCCCGCCCGCCGGCTCGTTTCTCTTTAAATCTGGCAGCGAGCGACACATGGAGCTGCATTGTGCGCCCCGCCGCCCGGGCGGCCCCGCGCATGCGCCCCGCCGCCGGGCCGGGCCGGGTCCCCTCGGCAGCGGCGGCCCAGGCCGGGCCAGCGCGCCCGGGGACAAAGGGAGGGGGCGGGGGCGCGGCGGCGACCCGCGACACGGAGCCGAGCTGCCACCCTGGGCCCGGCGCTTCCCGGCCCCCAGCCCGGGCTCCAACTCCTCCTTCCCCGCACCCGTCCCGCCCTCTCGCCCCCGGCGGACCCCCTCGCCCCTCCCTGCGGTCCCCCGCAGCGGGCAGTCCCCCCCCCGTCCGCCGCCTGGATCCCGGTGCTGCCCGGTGCTCCCCTCCCCGCCGGTGCCTGCAGAGCCCCCGGCCCTGCTCCCTGACAACAAAGGGGGAAGTGGCCTCCCCGTCCCGATCCGCTCGCCCCGGCGCAGGGCTGGGGGGGGGGGAGCTGGGGAGGGGAGGCGGGACGGGGGCACCTGAGGTCCCCACAGGAAGATGTGCAGAGCGGGGCGAGTCACCCCAGGCCCGAGGTGCCGTCTCCAGGGTGGGCACCCACCCTCCCTCCGCTTCTTCTCGCTGCCCAGCGAACATCCCTCCCCTCACGCCGCCGAGGCTGCCCCGCGGACATCCCCCACGCTGCGGGGAGGAAAGCTCCGGCTTCTTTTTCCCCCCCTCCCCGCCCCGGGAAGGCAGGGCCGCTGGGGAGGCTGCCAGGCACGGAACGGGGGGGCTGGGGGGGGGGGGGGGGGGGGACAGGCGAGCAGGGGCCGCTGCCAGCCCCCGCTTCCCTGGCGGGACGGGGGCAGCGAAGGAAGCACTACCCCCCCGCCATGACGGCCCTGCGCACCCCTCCCCCCGGCTCCCCTGGCAGCGATCGCCAGGCAGGCTCCCCCTCCCCCCCTCGGCCTAGTTCCCTCAGCTCCCGGCTGGGCAGGAGAGCGGCGACGGGGGGGCCGTAATCTCCCCTTTCCCCGCACACACACACCCCGCTACCGCCGGCCGCCCACCCCCTCCCCCGGGCCGGCGCCCCTTCCCCCGCGACAGGCCCCGGCCCCTCAGACGCCGGCCTCCCCGCCCGCCGCGGATCGCCCCTGTCCCCCTAGCCGGCCGGCAGCCCCGGTACCTGCTAGTTGTCTCCGCAGTAGCAAGGCGGACTGGAGCTCCGTCATTCTCCCCCTCTCCGCCCGGGAAGGGAGTCCCGGCGGCGGCGGGGACGGCGCGGCTCCTGGCGCTGCGAGAGCCCGAGGCGGCGGCGAGTGGCCCTCAGCCCGCCCGCACCGCGCCCCGCGGGGGTCTGGCTCCGCGCCGGCCGCCGCCACAGCACGCAGGGTCCCTGGCAGGGGCGCGCGGCCGTGGCTCCGCGCCGCCGCCCGCCGCCGCCCGCCGCCCTCCTCCTCCTTTTCCTTTTCCTTCTTCTCCTCCTCTTCTTCTTCTTCCTCCTCCTCCTCCTCCTCACAGCCGCCACCTCCTCCTCCCCCCGCCCGCCAGGAATTTCACTGCACTCCGGGCCGCGGCGCGCAGGCGCACTCCGGCCCGGCCACCGGCCCTTCCGTGCCGCCATCTTGAGAGGGGATGGAGGGTGGGGAGGCGGGGCGAGCGGCCCTTCGGCCGCCATGTTGGGAAGGTCGCGGGGTTTTCCCCCCTCTCTTTTAAAGCCCTCGCTTTTAGGGAGGGAAGGAGGGAGATCCTGCTGAGGAGGACTTGCCGTCCCTCCGCAGCACGGTGGTTGTGCTGCTGGTTGCTGTCCTGGCTGCCTCTGCTTGGCACCTCGAAGGGCAGAGGGGCTTCTCCTGAGGGACAGCTGGCAGCTCCCTGTCAGAGACGCGTTTTCCCTCAGTTCCCACACCGCACAAGACTATTAGATACAGGGCAGAAAGTGACAAAAACTACCTGAGTATTTTGTCTCTCTCCAAAGCCCGGCTTGCCCTCAGGCTGCTGCCCATCTCCCCAGCCCAGTAAAATACATGAGTTTTTGAGGAGGGGCTAAAAAAGAGTTAGCAGCTGCTGGATGAAAGTTGCTCGTGCAGGATTGCAAAATGTCGGAGATTTTTGTCTGTGGGTTTGATGAGGATGCTTAAGTGAGGGGGAGCATGCCGCTGTGCTGAAGATGTGCCCAGGAAAGAGAAAGAGGTATAAAAGATGTAAGTCAAACCCCTTGTTGTGCTTGTGAGGTAAAGGGGCCGTCCTGCATTGGTTGACCCCCAAAAGATACAGGCTTGATTTTGGATCTCCATCAAAAGCCTTCAGAAAAGGAACTTTTGGAAGATGACTGCAAGTCTGAAGACAGGTACTGTTGAGAGAAAGAGATAAAAATTAAGATAGTTTATCTCAAAGAACTAAGTAAATGGCCAGAGAAGGACTGACAAAAATACAAATTGTCTGTATATTCATGTATTGACTGTGAAAAATATATGTGATAAATAGGTGTGTGGACCGTAAAATAAAATGTATGGGCTGCTCTGCTCCTCTGCCATAGGCTTTGAGCATCCTATTGGATTCTCTGAGTTTACATTTTAATTTTCAAGGAAATGCATTTTCTGACTAATTGGATGAACCATTATTACCAGTGACAGAAAGCAGGGAACTCCCTGCTCTATTGCAAAAAGAAATTACTACAAAGGGATTTATCCTATATCAGTTTGCCAAAATGTTCAAATCCTTTACAAAACCAGCCCTCTTTATTTTTTCTACTACAAGCAGTGTATTTTGTTTGTGAACACCTTGGCTTGGAATGTAGCAAAGAGAATGAGCCTGTAAGAGAGATATTTTTAGTTGGCAATGCTAAAGTCATTTCCCATGCTGCAATTTGGAAGGCCTAGTATAGTCTGAGAGTTTCATCACTGTGCTAGTGCAATTAATCAGAATACTATTCCCAGATATTCTTGCAGTTCTGATTAAATCTGTGTCCTCTTCAATGATTGAACTAGGATGATACAAGATAGCCCACAGTTGGGATTCAGTAATAACTGAAATTCATCTCATAAATGGTTTCCTTAGCCAAAGAAAGTCTTTGTGAGAGTCTTTCTCCTTTGTAGGATGAGTCTAATTTCTGAATGTGTTTTGTATTTGTATTTTGTATTGCTTCAGTCAGCTTCATTCAATCTTAAAAAACAATCTATCCATTTAAATACAGAAGGCTATCATGTGCAAGTGCATTTTATAAACTTATTATGCTAAGAGACAATCACCCAGATTGGAATTCAGGCGTGTTGATGGGAAGTAACACTATTGTGGATGGTATTTCTCTTGCAGGAATAAAAGGTAGGCTTTGTTCACAATGTCAGTTAAGCCAGCATTAAATTCACTCACTCAACTTTCTGTACCTGATGTCAATTCAGGCATGAGTACACATTTCTGACAGTTCTATTATTAGAGGACCTAACTACAGCACTAAAGACTGAAAGGTTATATGAAACAACTCTATGTCTATTACATTCTCTTAATCAAAATCATCCTGAATTGTTCACCATTAGGTCACTTGCTGGCAGACATCTTACTTAATAAGGGAAGTTTTCTACGGTCTCCTATGGCTTATGTATGTTTTTCCTTGTGAAGAAGAAGGCTGTGGGTTGGGAAAGAAAGGATATGGTTTGAGCTGGCACAGATGACCTGGATTCTTTCATTCTAGCAACAGATTCAACCCTAGTTTATAAAAGTAATATGTGTTTCATTATAGGAAGCACTGGCAACTTAAAGTACTCTAACCTTGCTCTGTCAAATCATCTTGTGTGCAGTTGCAAAATGTAGAACATGGCTACTGCTGGTAAGGGCAGGTGTGTGACCAAGGCATAAACTAGTTTAGTGTCTCCTTACAGCAATAAAGACTCTGTGGAATCCTGTCATGAAAATGAAGCTGTCATGCCACAGCCGATTGGGAACTCTGTTGGCTCACAGTTCATGTTGCTTGTCCTTAAACACAACGGGCTATCTGAAAAGAGATAGAAGCCTTTCCCTGATGAGATGAAGCATTCTTCTGTTCTGTTAATATCTACTTTCTGTACTCTCTGTGCACAAACACCTTATCCTACTGTTTGCTGAGGCAACACGCAGTACATTTTAGGAAAAGATGTCAAGATAGGAAAGACTGTTTTCTTAAATTTGTTTTACTGTCCCTGGCATGCTGCCTCTCTGCAGCCGTCCTTGCCATCTCTGTATTAAATGGAAGGGCAATAAGAATTCAGATTACTTTTTCTTTCCTCAGACCATTTCTTGTATAATGACTGTTCAGATCTTACAGTCATTTGCTGTGGTCCTTACTGCATTAATCTTTTCTCTTGACAAGGGTATATTATCATAATAATTCATCTTGTGGTTAGAATAGGAAATCCTGGAAGTTTTTCTGTCACCTTAAAAAGGATCAAGGTTTCACATTCCGCATCTTACTTTGCTTGAATATGATGTCTTTCATTTGACTTTCTTCCCCAATTCCTCATTCACAACACAAATCACAGATTACAACAGTAGATAGTTTCTGTTCAGTAGAGAGTCTTCCAGCTGGATTCACACTGTTACCAACATCTGCTCCCCTACTTCAGCTTCTTGGCAAAAACAAAAACCTAATGGTAAGATAGACATAGCTCCCTGTAACGTGTTCTGCAGTGTTCATCTACTTTTACATGCTGGAGTCAGTGAAGAGACATTTTAAATGGTAGCAACGTGAAGTATCAGTTTTTAGGCTTAAAAGAAGTTCCTGTTAGGCAAATGGGGACCATTTCTATGTCCATTATAGCATTTGCAGGCTTGAGTTTCTTGCGGTTTATATCTAACAAACAAGTTGTTTTCTTAACGGTAAAGGCTAATTATTTTTAAGGGCTTATATTCTGGATCCAAACTGTCACCAGGAAACAGTATCTGTTGGCTGAGCTGTGGTGTACTGGTCTACCCCCTCACACTTCTTTTTGCTGTGCATTTGCTGATATATAAGTAGCTTGCTCTAGGGAGTCTCTCTCTGAATAATCCTTGACTGAGTTTGCTTGTGAGTAGTAAAATCCAAATTACTTCTTCATATATTGTTTGCAAAGGTAACAGTTGGCCAGTACCATGAATGTGTATCATAAAGCCATATGCTCTGAAAATTCCTTGTTAAGAGAGAATTTGGGAAAAAGGAGAGAGCAATTCACTGTATTTTGTCTTTGATTCATAGCTCCCTTCTGGCTTGAATAAGAGCGTAACAAGGACTAAAAGCTGTTTTGTTTCCAATTAGGTATGACCTATAAATAAAGTAGGGGACTAAGCCTGGGCTGAACACATCAGTCTGGGCAGAAGTATTTTGCGTAAGTTGAAGGCTACTCCTACATAACAAGTTCAAAAGTTTAACTGTTACTCAAATGTTGTTGGGCTCATGTTTCACTGGGAAGTGGGGGTGTGTGTGAAAAAGCAGGGTTTCCTGGAAAAAATGGACCAGTGAATCAGTAGCATGGCAAACAGAAAGAAGCCTGGTATGGGAATTGCTGCAGCTGCTACAGCACATCTCTTCAGAACATAACCTCCGTGCAGAGTATGATGAAAATGTTTATATTTACTTGTATTGTAGCAATGTTTAGATTCTCCAACTCAGATCAGAGTTCCGCTGGGTTAACACTAATCCTTGATGATCTCCTGTAGAGGTAAGATCTCCATTCTTCCATAAGAGTCCAAATAGCTAGGATGAACATGTGTGGCAGTGCATGGTGCTAAAATGTCTTGCCCAAGATGCCAGAGCAAGCCTGTACTCTAGTACAGAAATAGGAACTGGTCCTGACTTCCATTCCCTGACACATGAAACCACAATGGCTTTAATGTTCAGAGCTCACTATGTGTCTGTCTGTCATTCCTTAATAAATCCAGCAGTATTCCACCTAGGTCACTGACCACAGATAAAGGTTTCGGTTGTGGCACAAAGTGTGGAAAATGATTGCTTGAGCCAGGGAGAAGGTACGTAGATGTAGACTAAGTTGTTCAGTGAAGGATGATACATAAACAAAGTGTTTTGACATGACTTTTGGAGAAGATTTCTGGTATGAGTCAACTTTGACAGAAATGGTCATGGTAAAACAGTCTCTGGAACTGCAGGAAATCCTTATGGATTCTTATGGTGGTGTTGAGTCAGACTTTTGGCAGGAAGGACCTAGGTAAACCAGAATGACCTTGTTGTAAACTTTATTTGTATAAGCTTAAACTATTACTTAAGCAGATAGCATTCTCAGCTGGGAAACTGAGACTCTGCCTAGTCATTTATGTTAGGATCAGGGTAAAATGCCCACCTGAGAGATGTTCACTTTATACAACGTGGACATAATTTCTTCAAAATGCACTGGATTTCTTCTCTTATTGTTAGTGAGAAACAGCTGGCTTCAAAAAGACAGCAAACAAAAGCAGCAGAAATTAAAGCAGTGATGAAAGACTGGCTTTGAATGCCAAAATAGTTATGAGAAGGGTTAAATTAAAATG